GATCTTCTTTACCGTTGTCCACGTCCTGTAGCTAAAATAAGAGAAGAAACTCATGGTCCCAAAGCCGTTTCCTGAAGTCTAAAAAGTAACACATGCGCTCACACAAAAGAGAATGCAGGTGGGGGCGGGAAGGAGAAGTTTGGGGGTTTTTTTTGGCAACCCCTTTGCACATTCAACAGGAAAATTACCCAGGCAAGTTCAGATGTAAAACCGGTCGGCGATGAACATAGTTTAAAAAACACACTTTACTGGGATATTAAGAAACAGATGAATTTTATTTATTCATTTATTCAGTTTGAATCCCGCTCCCCTTAGTGCCACATCACTAGTCTGTGTGGGCTACAGCTCGTAAAACAGAAATAAAAGCAGAAAACATTAAAAACCAGTTGCAATACCTCTTATAATCTACAACAACAACAACCAGGCGGGACTCCTCTTCTGTGGGTTCAGTGATTTCCACGGCAAGAAAAGAGCACCCACTCCCCTAATCCATCGTTCGCATGCCAGGCAGTTCTTTTGGAAGATCCCTTAATTTAAGACTGTGAGGACACAGGAATTCAAGCCGTCCTCTGCTGTGCAGTGCCGACAAGGTTTCCGAGAAGAGGATGGCGGAGAACAAGGTTCTTGTGCTCCAGAGACTGTAGGTGGGGAGAGAGCGAGAGAGAGAGAGCACCGTGGCCATGCAGAGTGTGACGACGGGTGGGATCCAGGGGGAAGGAAACCCGGGAGTCCAGCAAGCCCTAAGAAGAGTGTTCCCCGACTTTCTCAAAAACCCAGACGTTTTGACTTCAGCTCTCCTGTCTCATTATTCTACATTATCTCTGAGGAGCCAGAGGCCCTGAGATTGGGACTTTTTCTTTCTTATATTGGAGGGGAATAAATAAAGGGAAAAAGAGTGTCCTTTCACTCTTTAGTTTGCGATTTTTAGAGCAATGCCTCTTCCCCCGATGGCTCTTTGGCACTTACGAAGCAGAGAAAAATGAGCAGGAAGGTGAGGAGGAGGAGGAGGAGGAGGCGGGAAGGCCACCTCTTCCTCCGAGGGACCAGGAAGGAGGAATCCCAGCCGTTTACTGCTTTCGTTATCTTATCCCCGACCTTCAAGAGGTCCACTGGGATCGAAGGGGTTTGGGGCAGTTGCCGCTTAACCCTGATTTTAATTGCTAACTACCACCACCCCTTCAGGCGCCCCTTGCAATTTTGGCTGGAGAGGTCCGTCCCGTCTCACTTTAACGGGGTCCCGATGACGTACTTCTGGTTGCGACCCGGGGGAGGGGAGGGGGCGCTCTCTCTCTCTCTCTCTCTGCGCGCTCTTTCCGCCCTCCTCCTCCTCCCGCGTTTGTCGGTGAGCTCTCCGTCACTTCCGGGCGGCGAGGCGCGGCGGCCGCCATCTTGGGTGGCTGGAGGGAGAGGGAGCGGGAGGCGGCGGCAGAGCCCGGGTCCCAGCGAGCGAGCGGCCCGTCCTCGCACCCTCGGCGG